CCCTCATTGTACGTGTGGGAGCTTTTAGGCTATGGCATAAAAACTTACGAAGGCAAGTGGGGCTCGGTAGAGTGGGAAGTAACAGCAGCTTGCCCGTAAGCTCAGGTGTGGGTTCGAGTCCTGTCAGAGGCTGAAATTTTGTTCATAACTCGCCACCCTTGTGAGAATCCGGAAGGAATTATTATAGGCCTAGGTGGACGCGATGCTGGTCCCATCCCAAAACGAGATTGATCGGCATCCAAAACTTCAGCCATCAATCCTCAATGTAAAAGGCGATGGCCCTAAAAGGGTACTCGCCAACTGTGGCTCTAGGGGGTCTTCAAGGCCACTTCTTCTTTAGCATTCGTCGGTAGCAAGGTGATCTGATCAATTTACCAGAACATCTCGAGGCTACCTTCATTATTACAACGCTCGTTGGATTACCATTTCATTGCTACATCGCGAATCATTTGTGATAGGTGTGTAACGATTCCCGAAAAGAGGCATCACTTTGCAGTGGCTCGGTTGTCTTCGTGAGGATACCGTCCCCACTCTCAACCCTCTCAAACCCTCTCAAACCCTCATCTATATTAATTTATGAATCATCTACGCACTCTCCGATCCTTGACTTCTGTCCTTGCATGTATGCAGAATAGGTGACTTGCTGGTAGTTTCTTGACTTTTAGGCGTATCGTCACGATGTGATCTGAAAAGTTCTGAAACGTAAGTGAAAGTGTTTTGACGAACAATATAGAAAACTATAAGAACTCATAGGGTCTGCAAAGTACTTCTTATTTCGCGTAAAGTCAATGAACAGCCTAGTCCAAAGAGCTCTTGATATTTTGAAGCTGATCAAGTGGTCCACCTTTCCTTAGATCCAAAGACCAAATTCCGAGTTTATATTCTCGCAGACAAACCACTTCCCTCCATCCATCAAAGCCGTGTTTTTGATACCAGATTTGCGTAAAAGGGTACGAGCGCTATATGTACAGTAGCGCTAAAAAGTATTCGGCCAATTACTTCTTCACTCGTACTTTTCAGTCATAACTCCTTTCCTACTGGATCTAATCAGGCGAAATTTCAAAATGTGTAGCATTGGTGTAGTGTGAATGTTTACCACTATTAACCTGCAATCTGATCATGTTCCAGATATCCAAAAGAGCTTGAACAAAAAATCAACTGGAAATACATATGATGGTTTTTCTGGGATTTCTTTCTCTTTTCTATGTCTGAAGTGTACGAGCACTAATGTCGAACTTAGAAGAGAAGAAACGTACATAAGGTCGGAATT